CTTAATTGCTCCCTAACCCAGTCCTCATCATTTCTTCTGAAGGTTTCTTCTATTTTTTCCTGGGTGAATTCTTGCTCATATATAACAGTGCCAGCAATTTCCATCTGCTGCACTATATTAGAAGCTACTGAACCATCAAGCAAATAATCTCCCTTCATCAGCTGTAAAGCCTCAACCTTGCTTGCTGCCTCTGCATTATTGCTAATATTCAGTACAGCAGAGTGGCAGCTACAATCTTCCTGGAACACTTCTTTTGATCTTCTATCTTCTCCCCTTACTGCTCCAAGATCTTTTAAAAGTAACATTATAATTTGTTCACCATGTAGATGTTCTCCAAACTCCACAGTCCTCTCAGTTTCTCCAAAACTCTTACTGACTGAATGATTACACAGATTATACACATGGCTTTATGGTGTGGGATCATTCATCATTGCCCACCCCAATTTAGATTAAAGAAGTTCACTAATTCCTTTCATTCTGCAGTAAGAAAGTTCCTCCATCAGCCCACACCTCCCCTCTCTTGCTTTGGGTTTTCCAGGCAGCTAAGTAGTTCCCACTCACAAAACCACAGAGTTTGCTGCAGTGTTTGCAGTCTGCTGCTTTTTCTAAAGGAGAGGCCAGCTTGGTATGCCAGGCACTGGCTTTTAAAACGTGTTCCCAGCTCCTGGGTTCTCCCTCCATGCTTGACAGCCAGTCTTCTCCCTGCAGGGTGGGGTGGAGGTGCCTCCTTTCTGCTGAGGAAGTTTATTAACTCTTTTTTTTTTTCCCCTCCTTGACTTGTTCTGAGGTCGGGGCACACCTACGATATACTTCATGACCTACATTCACTGTGAACTATTTCACAGCTCCATGTTAGATCTTACAAGAGGTGTGGGAGTGAAGCAGTACAAACTTTGGCAGTAAAGAAGCGCTGAGCTTTGTTTTCAGAAGGTTCTGAATAGTAGGTAATGAAGGTGGAAGAAAAGAGAAATGATTATTTAGTGCACTGTCTTTTTCTTGTGGTAAGATGTCTGTGTTATTAAAAGTAAAATGGAAGACAAACACACAAAGACACAAACAGCAGAGCTAGAACAGCTGTTTACAGAATTAATGAGGTATAACTCATCTTTAATTTGTTTGTTCAAAGAGCCTTTTGGGTATATCTGCTCTGTTTTGCCTGTTTGTATTAGGTCTTTATGTCAAGTACTTCTGGACTTCAGGGTAAACTAAACATTTTGGTATGAAACATATATGAACTTTTTCTTTCAGCATTTCAGGTTCTTTCTACAGATCATCAGTGAGAAACATGATGAAGCATTGATTACTGGTGAGCTTTTCAAGCTAGTCAAAAGGCAAGAAATGCCTGCATTTGCTGCATGTGGCACCTTCATATATTCAGCAACTTGACTTTTCAGTTTTTCCAAGCTGCTGCAGCAAGCTGTCTTAGGCTAGGTCTCTTTTCCTGTGGGCTGAGTCCATTACCTGTTGTCTGGCACTTGCTGCAGGCTAAGATAGTTTGCTCCTGGGCCCCAGCTTCTCATGCAAAATTTGTGTCTGGCTTATGACTGAGTATGAGGCAGCATGTGCTCTGCATCCTTGAGGACAACACAAGATGTTCTGAGTAGTTCCTGGGGTAAAGAAAACCCTGTGAAGAGCAGGCTCTGTGTCTGTGTGTGTATGGGGCGGGGGGGGGGGGGGGGGGGGACGGTGGGGGGGGGCACTGCCCTTTTCCCTTCCACTGCCCCACGCATCAGGTGGGGAATGGGGTGGCAGGGGAGCATTGGCTGGGATGGGATGGGGGTCTCCAACACCAGACAGCCCCTTTCCAAGAAGTTCGTTGACTGATTTCAATGCCGTGATCTGAAATAAGATACACCATAGGATAAGACAGAAAAATGGTCCTTTCTGGGGAATTCATATAAGTTGTGAGTGTGGGTCCCTTTTCCAGACGCATTCTGTCCTTGCTCCTCCTGTGAAGCATGGACCAAGAGATTCGTGCAAGGTTGGATGTTTCAAACTCTCAGAATTCAGTAGACTTCTATTATTTAGCAACCAACTATGAGACAATCTCAGGGCAGCTAAATGCTTCACAGTGTGATCCAGGTAAGTAACAATCTGCATTAAATTCCTTCTTTCTTCTTTCTTTTGTACTCCCAGTCAGCAGCTGCTTCGTGATGGGCTCCATTTCTAGACCAATTACTGAGTTTTGCCTTGATCTCTACAATAAGCTCAACAGAAATGCAGAGGACACAAACATCGTCTTCTCTCCAATGAGCATCTCTGTTGCCCTGGCTCTGGTTTGTCTAGGTGCACAAAACAACACTGCTGCTCAGATAGAAAAAGTAAGTATTAGTGAAACATGTCCAGATGTTTCCTCATTGCGTGCTGTTCCCTTAATGGAAATGTTTGGCACCCTAGCACAACATGTGTGCAAGGGTTTCATAGGAAACAAGCATGAATACGAGCACAGGTGCTGCCTTCAGAGTCGTGGCTGGTACGCCACAATCCAAGCCATCTGCTTGCATGACTTGCCTCATGCTCCTATGCAAACTCAGGCGGATGGAGCAAGAGCTGAAAGAGAGGAGGCAATACGCCACAGCAGGGCGCTCTGGTTTCCCCCCAGCCTGCTGCCGGATTATCAGCCTTTGTTTCAACATTACACGCAGGCACTTTCTCTCATGGTTGATATGAGAGTCCTGAACGTGTGAGTCTGGGTGGGGATTAGGGAGAGTTGTGGAAACCTGAAACGATTGCTAGAAGTGTTAGCTCAGTTGTCATTTATGGCATTAAAGAGTCAAAATGTGTCACCTACAGAGCTCACAGAGATGCAGGCAGGGGGTGAAGAAGGCCACCTCTCTGATCGCTGTGCCTTTACTCCCCACAATACAAGTTCTGCTCTCTATGATCTTTCTTCTTTTTTCTTATTTGTGCCCATAAGCAGCAAAAGACCACTAATCCTAAGGTATAGGTTCTTGTCAGTGGCTGGGTCTGTACTGGTAGATTTTCATCCATCATATCCTAAACTGCCATGTGCACAGTCTGGCTTCTGGGTCACCTTCAACCAGGGAAGATGTACTCTTCTCGTGAGGCTCCCAGGGTGTGGTGGGTTGACCTTGGCTGGTGGCTGCCAGATGCCCACCCAGCTGCTCTCTCACTCCCCCTCTTCAGCTGGACAGGGGGTGAAAGTAAGATGATAAAGCTTGTGGGATGAGATAAGGACAGGGATATCACTTACCAATTACTGTCATGGCAAAACAGACTCAACTTGCTCTGCAGCCTGCTGTCAGAGGGCAGCCCCTGATCTCTTTGCACTGAGGCCACCCCCACAGCCCTCTGGTTACCATAATCTTGCTGCATAAGCCAAATACACAGGGACTCTTGATTCTTTTAGGGAAGTGATGAAGACCCAGTATCCTCAATAAAAATGATTAAGTCTTCGTATGATGCAACATTATTATAATGGTGAAACTGCTGGAATTTTTTAATGAGATATTTGCACATTGGAAACAAGGACTGTTTTTCATTGAAAGCACTGTGGTTTTGATATATTTCCTAAGAGGATTCAAAGATTAGGAATGATTGAAAAAGGCCAATTTTTATGTTTTCAACGAAAAACATTTTTGCCTCTTTGCCTGAGTCAACCTTTTGTTTTGAAATTTAAAGTAGCTGTAGCAATAAAAATACAAATAAAATGTAAACATTTTGAGGTAGTGGAGAATAGCATTTTGGGGGATTAAGTACAGGTTGTTCTTGGTTTGCTAGTATAGAAATGTGAGTTTGAACATGAATATATGAACAATTTCAAGTCTGTGCTTTCGGCCTGACTGAAGCTTAAAAAATATCTTCCATAAATCTTTATCATTTATCCAGAACAGGACAATGAATCTTTTAAACGGTGAAAAATGCTTTTATCACAGTTACGGCTTCCATAACTTGGCATCTTCAACTGCAGGTGCTCCACATTAGGAAAGCTGAAGAAAGAATGAGTCTTGGAGCTGACCTCGAGAATGCAGCCTCAGAAATGGAGCCAGAACTAAGCCAGGAAAGATCGTCATCCCTCTCACAGGTGTGTCCTTGGGAGGGGAGCACAGGAGCCTTTTCCTCACCTCACAGTTGGTTACTAGTTATAAAGCACTAGAGTCTACCGCTGGAGGGAGTCAACATCACACGCATAAGCTCTGCCTAACACAACAGGAAATGTCTGATACAATGTGTGATCTTATTAAGGGCCGAGTCTTCCATGAAGTCAATACCAAAGCCTTCAACGATCTCATCTAAAGGAGGATCAGGCTACAAAACCTAGACTAGCTAGATTGAAAAATCAGTACAGCAGGAGTTAGCCCTATACTGTAATCTAATTAGGATGGAAATTAACAACCAAAGCTCTATGGAGAAAACATTATAATTGTTGTTTTTGTAATATTCCCAGTGTAACGAGGATGGGGACTTTAACCATAAAGCATTTCAGGCGCTCCTTTTACAACTACAAAACCTTGGTGAAAGATATGTTTTAACCCTGGCCAACAATCTCTTTATACAACAAGGATTTGAGCTTCGGCAGGTAAGTTACCTGTACCTGCTAACTACTGTGGCCCTGACATCAAGCCTCCCTGTTACTGTGGGCCTTGCTGTTTCCCCCCTTACGTGTATTTTTGAGCACCTGATGTGCTTCTTCGAGTTGTATATCCTGGAGCTGGCAGAAAAGAGGCAACAGTGTCAGCTTTCAATTCTTTTTTTTAAAAAACCCCACCCTGCAGATATCAATGGCTATAGCGCAAAAATAAAGCAGGAGACTTTTTGCTTTTGGCATATGTCTACACTCAGCCAGAGATGAGCCTACAGCCAAAATTGGCCTATTCAAGCTATCTGTAAGCTAATTACATCTGGACTTGCAAGTGGCGCAACTGGGGCAGCAGTAAGCTTGGAGAAGGCTGATCATCCGAGATGTTACATAGCTTCATGCATAGAGGTGCTGTGCTGAACTTCCTTCTCCTTTCTTACTGTATGTCAGCGTGGTCTCCAGATTACCTAGTATGGATAACTTGCTAGTCGCATCTTTGCTTTTCTGTCAGTTATTTCTGTTGAGTGATTTAGATGCTTAAGCATTAAACAACACATCTTGCGTCTCCTCTGATTTTTTATCTGGACCTCATGTATGCAGTTCTCCATGAGGAGACTCTTTCTTCTAGCTTTCTTTTTATGTATGTACTTTTTTGCCTATGCAATAGAATAGCTATCTCTTCTTTGAGGAATAAGCTTCAGATAGTTGATGTTTCCAAAATGAAATTTTACCTGATGCAGTCAACTGGTTCCTCACTATTTCTAATATAACTTTCAAACATTGATTTCTTTCAGAAAGGAATAAGTACTTAACAGATTTGACCAATTCATAATCTTTATTTTACTTTACAGCAATTTCTAATGTGTGCTAAGGAACTGTATGGAGCAGTGCTGCAAACAGTGGACTTTCATGGTGCTGTTGAAGCTGCCAGATTAAAAATTAACACCTGGGTTGAAAGTGAGACACAAGGTAAAACAAAGCAAAACCATAACCATACTATCAGTGTCTTCTTCCACTGCTTCAACATAAGAAATTCCGTAGTATGAAAAGCAAAGTCTTGCTCACATTTCTGTGTGTTCAATTTTATGCTGTTTAAAGATGGTTTGTCTTCCCATTCACTCCTGAAATATTAGTTATCAGCTAAATTATTCTGAATTAAAGTTGTGTTTGTTTTCAAATAGTTTTGTATTCCCACCCTTATGCCTGGCATGATAATTGCAATAATACATATAAAGCTCTACCAAACAAATTGCTTCCATGAACAGCCAAAAATACAGATACAGGACAGCTGGGGATGGAAGCTCATGGTGAGACTGGGAACAGCCTGGGTGGGGAGTGGGAAAGGAGGACAACTGAGGACCTGGTTGTATATAGAGCAATGCCCACAGAAATGAGAGATGTGACCAGCAAGGCTCACTATCATAAATGATGATCAACCAATTCTTGTCCTTAAGAGGCTAGCAGGGGGCATTGGCTCCTGCTGATTAGAAGAAACATGATATATACCATTTTCCTCTAGTTTTGCCAAAGCTGCAGTAGCAGCAGGATGAGAATTTTCTAAATCTACTGGCTGAGCATAAACCAGAACTTACTAGGGGACAGGCAAATAGATTTGAAGGCTTCTGTAATTTTCTCAGTTCCCCTTTGCTGACCAAACCTGTCCTTGTACTGGCAGAGTGGCCTGTGACTGGTGTGCGAAAGAGCTGTTAACCCTAGCTGGATCCCAGTGAGAAAGCTCCTGAAGGTTGAGGAGCCACCCTGCACAGGGTTAGGCATCATCGTTGCTCTGGGTGCTCGTACGAAACTTGTGGACCTGCTAGCTTCTGTGTCCACCTCTGTGTAGAAAGGCAAAAGCCCCGCAGCTGGTTAACTGCTCTGCCCAGGGCAAAGGAAAGATGCCCTTGTGTATATCAGAATATGTGGGTAATGGTGCTGCTTCCTTCCCCATAGTTAATGTCTCTGGGCACATATGTATGGTTACTGACACTGACAGTTGGCTAATTGGTGAACCCCTCCCTCCTCCCTGTCACCCCTGGCTGGTAACAATGCAGTGGATTTTACCATTTGTTTGTCTGCATTGTCCCTGTCCTTTGAACAAGCCAAGAACTGGGTTTCTACGTTTCTCTAAGTTCACAGGCAAGTAATTGAGTCTCAGTTCAGAGTCTTAACAATAACTAACAAATATTTGTCTATTCCAAAATTTCCTTTAGGTAAAATCAAGGAACTCTTTGCTCCTGGGGTGATCGACGTACATGCATTGCTGGTGCTGGTGAATGTAATCTACTTTAAAGCAACCTGGGAACACAAGTTTGAGGAACAAAAAACAGTACAGAGAGATTTTAAACTGAATCAGGTACACCCACATTTTGTAAATTTTAACATTATGTACCCAGGATACTGTAAGCAATGAAGCAAGCACAACATCAAAGCACAATGCCCAGGGCTCAGCTGCCCTGTGAACAAGGTGTGGGTGTGCTGGGAACTTAACCCGCCTCTCCCGATGGGTAGACGTGGCAGGAGGATTTTTCACAGAAAAGCAGAATCTGTATTGAAAAAATGTGCATGGGTCAGAAGTTGCAACAACTCAAGAGTTTTGCTTTGGTGACTGGCAAAACACAAGTGTTAGTCCTGACTAGCACTCCTTAACATAGCAGTCATTACAGATAGTTGTCATGGACAGAAGCAAATCTGAACATCTGATTTCATATAGATTCCAAGAGGTCATCCTGGTGTTTATATGTTCGATACCTTTTAATATCAGCTACACATCTGAGAGATTAAAACAGACCAAAAAAACTAGGCCGGATAGTAACAAGCTACAAAAGTACAGTTGTAATTCGAAAAAGGATAAATCCTTATAGGGTATTTGAGTTTATTTATAGTATTTGCAATATTTGAAAGCTTATTTTAAATATATTTTAATTTTTAGTCTTTTTTTCTATCATACGGATGTCACCAAAGCCTTCATTGTTTAACTAAGATATTGTCAATATGGTTGCAAAGTTAGCCCTCTGACAAGCACACTCCTCCAAGTATTGTGTGTGCCCTTTACGTCTGACCAATGTTTAAAAAAAGACAATTAAAACCACTTACTTTAATTCAGTTTTGCCTTCTTTCCATATGTTGTGCCAATATGCTATTACTTCTCATCCATAACAAAAGAAAAAAACCCAACAGATTTAGGTCTGATCTCAAGTTGTAGAGCTTTGTATAGGGAAAAGTATCTTTTGAGTGTTCCTTATATATCCAAGGAAAAGGTCAGAAAACCATATATTTCTAGTTATTTAGTTGCATTCCATTGTTAAGACACTGGTCAGAAACTGTCATATTGGGTACTTATATTTGTGACTTTAAATATATCTTTGAATACGGATATTGATGATGGTCTATAGTTGAGAACATCTGGTGTGCTGTTGCAGTAGGAGAAACTATGAAATAAGGAGTAGCTGTCTAGATTTTTCTTCATCTGCTAATCAATACCAGCAGGATGTTTGCTGAAAGTGTCTCATCTACCAAAAGTCTTCTTTCACTGCTTTAGAAGTTGGCTAACTGGAAAAGGAAGTTCTAGTTGGCTAGCACTGGACCAGGCTGTCCAGAGAGGTTGTGGAGTCTCCTTCTCTGGAGACATTCAAAACCTGCCTGGATGCGTTCCTGTGTGACCTAGTCTAGTTGATCCTGCTCTGGCAGGGGAGTTGGACTGAATGATCTTTCGAGGTCCCTTCCAACCCCTACCATTCTGTGATTCTGTGATTCTGTGAAACTTGAGCCTTGAGCCTTTGTTGTTTCAAACAACTTCCTGACAAAAAGGCAAGGTAAGAAGATCTAGAAGAGGATGTCTGAGAAAGGCTATGATTTTGCACTTAATAAACTAACCTGTTTATTCCTTCCTGTCTAAACAATCAGTCTGATAAATGACAGCAGCTTCACTATCTGATCAGTTGCAGGGAAATTGCTGTGTTGGATTTTGGGTTTTGTTCCCCAAAGAATTATCCCCTTTTGTTTCTGCACGGCAAAACTGATGTTTTTGCGTGTAACTGTAGATGGAATAAAAATAAAAATGTTTAGCCTAACAACAATTACTGATATTACACCTATTGTAAGTTTAAATATTAAGAGCTGTATTGCTGAAGCGAGTACATAATTTTCTTTTAACTAGAATGAGAAGAAGCCTGTGCAGATGATGTATCAGAAAGGCATGTTTAAATTAGGCTACATAGAGGAGATTGGTACTCAGGTCCTTGAACTCCCTTATGCTGAGAAGACGCTGAGCATGATCATCCTGCTGCCAGGTGACACGGCTGATGGATCTACCAGTGGGCTAGAGCAGGTAAGGCAGTAGACAGCATGGGCTATGGCTGAAATTTGGTTGTCTGAATTAAGGCTGGGTAGAGATGAAGACTTTTCAAAGCTGCCCACTTACTTTAAGCTCTTTTTCCCCCCACCTTCTAGATTGAAAGCACAATGACCTATGAAAATTTAAAGCTGTGGGCCTCTTCAGAGCACATGTTTGAGACAAGAGTGGAGGTATACCTCCCCCGATTCAAGCTTGAAGGCACCTTTAACCTCAATGAGGTATTACAAGAGATGGGCATGACTGACATCTTCAATGAATCAAAAGCTGATCTTTCTGCAATGTCGTTTGCAAAATCTCTGGTGCTGTCAGACGTTGTCCATAAGACGTTTGTGGAAGTCAATGAGGAAGGCACTGTAGCAGCAGCTGGTACAGGAGCTGCCATTGTGAGGAGGTCTCTGCCTCTCATAGAGTTGTTTATAGCTGACCACCCTTTCTTATTCTTTATTAGACACAATCCTACCAATATCATTCTTTTCTTTGGCAAGCTCTGTTCACCTTAAAATCAGGGCCATTTTGTAACATTGTGAGAAACATCTGGAGGAAAATCAGAAATAGCAGTTTTTCCCAATGCATTCTTTGTCCTGTGACAGCTAGTTCGTATTTCAAAGTAGTCACTGCAGTTTAGCTTAGAACCCATTAATTGGACGCTCTGCCGCAAGGCTTCTTGAATGGCAAATTCTGATCTGAATCCAGAATAGGAGTAAATTTTGCCTTAACCTCATTGGCCATGAGTAACATTTTGTTTCCTCCATGCCCACATACACGTCTATATTCCTTACAGTTGCCCAGCCCAGCCATGTAGTATAATAAAGCACCCACCTGGGCTTGCAAAGGTGGAGCTGGTATGCTGTTGTCTGAGGAGAACTGTCTGCACCAGTTTTAGGTAACTACCAGTAAAAACAGTAGCCCCTGCTCTGTAGTTTTTGACTCCTGGCCAGCTGGGTCCTGGTCAGCACAGAGGTGCTTCAGAGACACTCTTATCTTATCTGTATTCTGTAGCTGTGGCAAATCTTTTGCGCAGTGGAGACCTGACCATGACAATTCCCTTTTCTGTAGCAACTGCCGAGTAGGAGATACCTACTTACAGCAAACACATGTATTTACTGATAACTGTACCACTTTCTCCCCAGTGATGTGTACTGGATCTGCCTTTGTGCTATTCTGCATTATATAAACAGCTAATATTAGAAGCAGCTTTGGCTTTGTTTATTTAGATGTAAGCCTACATCTAAAGTGTCATCTTACCAATTGGAAGAACTATGCGACATGACATGTACTCCTTTCACGAGCTCTGGATCTTTTTGTGTGAGTATTTATTAGTAATACTGTTTTTTATGACAGTAACAGGAGGTATATTCTGTCAGGGGAAAGGACAGGATTCTGCCCTCATGAGCACCTCTAGAAAGGGAGCTGATTATAGCAGTAATTATATAGACAGGCGGGCAGGATTTGGGCCCTCTTTTTACTGTACATTTTCCGCATTCATTTTTGAATTAAAAGTGCACAGAATGCTTGGGTCAGAAGGGACCCCTGGAGGCCATCTGGTCCACCTCCCCTGCTCAAACACCTACAGCAAGATGATCACACCATGTCCAGGCAGCTTTTGGATATCTCCAACGAAGCAGACTCCACCACTTCTCTGGGCAACCTCCCCTAAGTTTCCCATAAAATCTCATATGACTCCAAAGAGAATTTTTTATGCATGGTGTCTGCAGGAACAGGATATGAAAACACACATTTCTAAAGAGGGTTAATTATTTACCTGGTAAAGACGGCTGTCTTTTATAAGGGGATAAATCAGATTATTTCAGTCTCAAGGAATTGGAGGAAAATGGTCTAAAGCACCCCACTGAAGTTACTGATGTGTAAAACAGTAAAGCAGCCTCATGTTATGTGGTCATTGTTACTGTTGCTTACGCACTATAAGTTACCCAGAGTCCTCTGGACAAGAAAGCCTAGGAAATAAGAGTGGATGATAACTAAGCAAGAACAAACAGGAGCAGGACACTAAACGAGTCAGACAGACAATAAAAAAGTCAAATAGACAAATTGCTGTTGACTGTCTGATCTGAAGGTGCAGTACAGCTCCACCAGTCATTTCTCAGGCTGTGTCTGTGTTTCCTTTCTGGAAGCTGACAGCCCAGTTTGTGTGTTAGATGATGGTGTTAGCCAAAGCTTCATCAGACAGTGTTTACATTCCCTGGGGAACTTCTGAGCACTGCAACCTCAAAAACCAACAATGTTTCTGTAAATGCAGGGATGGGGAATCCTGTGATGAAGTGGCAAAAGCCACAGGGGAAAAAAACCCTTCCCTATATTCCCATCTTTTCTCAGAAATGAGTATAGAGTCCCAAGGCCCATCACATCCTTTTTTGGCATCCTTGAGTTAAAGTGGGAGTTTCTGACCACGCTGGTAGTTAGCAAGGGGATGGATCTGCACACTGAAGAATGCAGAAGCTTAGTTCTGAAAGCGACAGAAATAGGTAGGAAAATTTGCAACAGAAGTCCCCGTTTAGCAGCGGCTTAGCTGGGTGGTTCATGTGCCACCAGAGTACAGGAAACATGAAGTGATGTGGTGAGGCCCACATGGCATAAAGGATGTGGCCGAGACGTTTCTGGTAGATGCAATAGCAGCAGTTTCCCTACTGCTGCAGTATCATGAACTATGCAAAGAAGATCAATGCTGTGAAGGAAAAAAACCAGATGTCTGTGCAACATTGATTGTTGACTTTATTTTTTCTCCTGAGCACAAACTCTACCAAAGGTAGTGCCTCTCTTCTCCAGTCCCCATCCGTGCAAACAAGGTCCAGTGCCTCTTCTCTCCCAACTCTCCCAGAAGAGGTGCAGGCATCCCCTTGGCAAATGGCAAGGTGTTTGCTGCCCTGCCCCAAGCCCCTGGGGCTGGACAAGGTGATCTTTAAGGGTCCCCCTCAACCCAAAGCCCACTGTATGGTTCTGTCTCTTGCACACTGGTTAGCTGAATCTGGCTAACCCCACCCAGCTCTGGTTACTGATTTACAGCTAGTCCAACCAGTTTATAGTAACCACACTGTATCACAAAATATCCAAGTCAGTGAAAACCAGAAGAGTTATTAGGTATTGTGTCTTAGACCCAAAACATACATGCACTTTTAAAAATCTCAAATTCTGCTGACCTTAATATCCTGTTATACTTACTGAACTGTGGAGGATTTGCCTCATTTTCTTACTCCCGTCTGGAACTGGAAGTGGGAGAAACTAGGCTGTGGTTGGATTAAGACTAGATTTAGCGAGCTGATCAATGTTGCAAGTCTCACTTTCACAGTATCACTTTTAATGTCTGTTCAGCCTGAGCTAACTGTGCATGCAGCTTCCTCTCCGTGCAAGGCAAGCAGTGGCAGGAGAAACCTACACAGCAAGTGTCAGTCACTCCTCTTGAAATGTGCACAGTGCATCCGCATTGCACAGCGTTTCAGCTTTCTTCACACTGCAGGGCCACAGCCCTTCTTAGAGGATTCACTAGCAGCTGTGAGTGCTTTGCCACCTGGTGCTCATCATCTCACTGACTTAGGTATTGGGTTCTTCCCTGGTAGCAACTGAGGGAGGGGCCACAATTTGGCCCTTAAAGTCACAAAACCAGTCAGTACCTTAGTCTGTATCTTAAAGAAAGTTAAACTTTACTTTAGGAACCAATTCAATATGTATTTCAAAACTAATAAAGATGGCATGCTTACTTTTTCAGGGGAGTAAAGACCCATAGAGGTACTGCTGTAGAGAGCTTAAACACTGCTTTTACTCTTGGAGAAAGCTTTACCTCAAAAGCTAAACATTAAACCAGAAATGGTTCAACAGGTAGTCTTCAAGAGAGGTTATTTTGCAGGATTTATTGGACTTGTATTTTCCTAAGCTGTCCTGTGAATTTCTCTGAATTTGGCTCTCAGTCATTTTTGGTTTTGGCCTTGGCATTATGGACTGCTAGAGACTAACCTATTTGAGACAGAAATTCAGGTGAATGTAGTAATTCCTGCTTTCTGTACACACCAGTACCATTAGTAAAAATACCAACAGCAATCACATGCTTAGAAACAATACCATCACTGCTTTCTTCCAAATATTCTTGTTTCCCCAACCCTATTAAAAAATTAGCATCCCTTTTCTGTCTGAAGCATTGCACCACTTCTAGTTTCCAGTCTCCCTTCTAGCACTTCTCAGCTTTCCATTGTCTTTCGCTTGGACCATTCATCTCACACTTCCAACATGTGTATAGAAGTGCCAGCTCACTTTCTTGGATGGTTTCAGAAAATGATCCAGATGTAATGCTTTCAATTAGCTTCTTTTTTTTTTTCACTTCAACGTTTTACCATATTTTATTCCACTAGCCCAGTAGGGTGAACATAGTGGGGCAAATGTATGGTAGTGTCTATCTATATTCAGATAATACCAGGGCTTGTTCCACTTGAATAGAGCAGCAAGAAAGGAAACACTCAATCTGACTGAAGGGTAGCTGGACAGTAGTGCTACTAGTTAGCATCTTCTGACTAAGACCAGAACAAGGAATTAAAAGCATATCATCAGGACTAAAATTAAACCACAGTATGATATACAATATAAATGGTACATAATTTATTACATTTATTGATTATCAATATAAACATGTTAATGTTTATTCAGTTATACTTTATTAATATTAATTACAGTAATATAATATTTGATACAATATAAAATTACCACACATCAAAGGCTGGCCTTGACAGATGGTCTGCAAGTAGTTTCATGCCTTCTGTACTACACAAGGTGCTATTCTACTCCAGCTGTAAAGTCTGTCACACAGCAGGAAAATCTAGACTTTTAATTTCCATATTTATTAGAAAATTGCCTCTTAGTAAATCCTGTTTTCTTGGTAAAGAATGCTTATTCTCTGTATGGAATTATAATCACTTCTAGCAGGAACTACATCATAGTATTCACAGACATTACGAAAACACAATTCGGGAGCCACACTTTCTGTCTGTTTCCTGTGCATATGTAATGGAGAATCAGTGAATAAGATGTTTAATGCATAGAATGATAGATGGCTTCAGAAAGGAGAAGCAAGATTAAGTAACGATGTATCTCTCCTAAACAGAACATAGGCTGGCTTTAAGCATATATATAAAAAAATCCATCTCAAAGAAAAATTCTCACTTCCAATGAATGTTGAAGTATCCAAAATTTGTAGGCATTTTATTTTCGCCTTTGGTAAGTTCTTTTGCAGCTAGCATTTTTCTTTGCTTCCTCTGAGCTGCCCTGTTATGAAGGATGAGGTGTTTGGCCCATGCTGAAATCCAGCAACAAGGTGGAACGAGATATAAGTCCCTGGAGAAGATCTGGTGAATGCCTTCAAAGCAAACCTTCTGCAAGCTGCTCAAATAGGCCTCCCTGAAAAGGCCATTAGAGTGACTTAATTTCTTTAAGTGAAAAAGGTGCATAACTTCTGTAGTGGAGAAATTTGTGTGGCTCAGGAGATGAAGGGCCTGCCTTTGGTGTGTCCCATACCCTTGCTGGAATTAAAGTCTGCATCTCCCAGGAGAACGCATCAAGCACCACCAGGCACTAGGATCTGGCATAGGATGGGTGGGAGACCTGCGATCTTCCCTTTGAAGTTGTGCCCTTGCTTGAATGAAGGCAACTTAATGATACAAGAAGAGAACTGATAACTTTGCAGTTCAGTAATGAGGATAGCTTGTAGATGAATTCTGGTTTCCAGACTCTGCTCCTAAGACTATTCTTGCTTTAATCCAGTAACACTTGCACAGAAAACAAGTATCTGTACCTGCACATGACCAGCAGCATCGGCCACACTGAGCTCTCCTAAGCAGGGCTGATGGTGCCTTCACCACCTCTTGCCCTTTTCCTGCATGAGGTCAATGGAAAAAGCCTGTTCCTTAAAATTCTCACCATATGGGAGCATCGTGGTGACAGGATCTGTTTCCAAAACTGTGTAACTGGGACTCGTTTCCAAAACTGTGTAACTGGGACTCCTTCTGCCTACTGGACCAGGCCCTGTAGCACCCTGTTAGGCCTGCCACTTCCTGACTCACAGGTGGGGAGATGCTCAAAACCCAGGATGGGATGTGCTGCTGAAGGCCACAGCGTGCTCTCTCTGCTCTCCAGCTCTTGCTGATGCAAGAAGAAAAACCTGCTGAGGTCCTCGAGACAGACAAAGTGCCCATACTGATGCAGCCCCAGCCAAACGTAGCCCTCAGACAGAGAAGCTGCTGGGGCACAGTCTGGGGCATTGCACCTCTCCTGGAAAGCCTGGGTTAAAGGAGAAATAACATGTTGTGGTTATGGACCCAGCGCTGTCATCTGCTGCAGGACTACAAGGGCTTCCCAAAAGACAGAGGCCATCAGATGCACAGAAGTCCTTCACGGAGAGGGAGAGGTGCCTCTCTGAATGCTGCATGTCAGAGACTCATTTTCTAATTTGTTTCTGTTTCCCTCTTGCTGTTACTGTAAGCTTTCTGCAGATGCTTGAGATGTGCTTTCTGCACATCTTTGAGATGATTCAACAGAGCAAACTAATGAGATGCAGCAGCATCAAGAAGGAGCCTCCTCTCTGGGAGCGGAAAAGCCCATCTTTTGTTCTTTCGCTTTTTGTTTCAGAGAGTAGAAAACAGAAGCGACTAGATCCTGTCTCCTGCTTTGCTGCAGGACGAGAAAAGCCATTCTCCAGATCCTCTGCCTGTTGGCCCTTGATTTCCTCGTCCTTGTTCCTTCTTCAGAAATAAACTGGGCAGGCAGCCAGACTACACAGAGGTCGGTCAGCTTCGATCGCAGACGGGGCAGGACACCACCCTCCATCAGCAAAGAAGCTGCCAGGGTCAGCTCGTCCCAGGAGAAGGTAACTTTCTCAGCTTTAGCTTTCCTTAAGATAGTGATAGGCAGCAGCTGGAGGGGAGCAAAGTGTGTTGCAACCATGCACAAGGTCAGGCAGCGGTGTTTCTGCCTACAGGGCTGACTTCTGCCTTTCCTGGATGTGACAATAATCCCAGGATGTAGGAAGTTTGTAGCCAAGTTCTTTGCTTGAGTGCAGAAGCTCGCTTAGCAGCAGGAGGGAATTTGGTAATACCCTTGAAAGGCAAAAGGAGGTAAATGGCAATGCAGTTATCTTAGAAGTGCTGGGACACGTATGAACTTGCTACCCCAAATTCAAGAGGTAGAGGAAGGTCTTTCTGCGTTGTTGTTTGGTTGTGGCTCGCCAATTCAATTTGCTGGTCTCTGTTGTTTTCATACGGTGTGCTTCCTGTTTTACACAACATGCTAAAAAAAAAGGTCTTAGGCGATATATTTTGGAGAAGCACAGTGTCTGAAGGTTGGTTCTAAACCCCGTAGGAGTTTTTGCAAGAAAAACAGAACAATTACTATGCCATGGTATTTACTCAGTGTGGAGCCTTTAGTAAAAAAATCTGAGGGCATGGCAGTGAGTGTGGAGCTAGCTAGAGCAGACAGGGGAAGAGCAAGGGTATGGGTAAAGGGGTCATTTGCCCAGAAGTTCTTGTTTGGGTGAGGGTGTGGGGTGCACTTTGCTGTGAAGTGGTAAGTGTGTTCTGAAACCTGCTCTCAGGAGCAAGTCCATGCTTTGGGTGCTGTTTTCTGGGAAAGGTTCTGTGTTTCCAACTCTCTCTGCACTGTGTGGTCTGAGCATCACAATGCTTGTGAGACGGATGACATGGTTGTCCTGTTGTAGGCCTTGGCCACACCAGGATGGGCTCCATCAGTGCAGCAAATGCCAAGTTCTGTGTGGACTTCTTCAAAGAGCTGAGCAAAGTAAAAAGAAATGAAAATATCTTCTTCTCCCCACTGAGCATCTCAGCTGCCTTGAGCATGGTCCAGCTGGGTGCCAGAGGCAACACAGCTGAGGAGATGGCAAAGGTGGGTTTCTTTTCCCTTTTCCTCAGAACTGCTGTTAGAGGCTTAGCTTTGAAATTGGTAAAGAGGCAGGAGCTCTCTGGCAGTCTGGGCCATGTTCTTCACAAACAGCAAACTGAAAGAAGTGGCAGCTACAGGGGGAAGGGGTTGGAAGTGACCTCCGAAGATCAAGCCCTGTGCTAGAACTGCTCATCTGACTTGCAGTGCCTGTAAGGCTGCAGTGCAACCTCAGTGCATTGTTAGTGTCTTCGTTAATCTATTTACATAGATTTTTGTTGCATTTATATCGCAGGTACTTCATATTCACGAGGTACCGAGCACAGCAAGTCCAGGAACCAGGAACACTCCTGGAAAGGTGAGATAGTAGCTGAACTGTGTGATAACACTGAACTGCAGCATAAAGCAAAGCAGGACAAGGCAGACCTACCTGCTAAATGGCAGCACTTCACCCAAAATCATGGGAAGAGCAGAGTTCAGCTCCGTTCTCATCAAACTCTGAAACCTGTGTGCACACGCACAAGAGGCACCGTTGCTTTGCTGCATTAAGTGTTGCCATGTTTAAACAGGATGATCCTTTTTCAAGGTGGAAATTACAGGATGGGAGGGAGACAAGTGTGGGACTTTGACTGGTCAGGAAGCCCAAACATGTGTTTGTGGGTCTTTCCATGTCCCTTGGCCCCACAAGTCCATTTGGAGAGAGTGACTACGGAGATAATTTACTGGGACAGAATTTTAAAGTTAGTCTTTTTTTCAGGAAAACAGCATTTCTCTAAGGACTACAACACACTGTTTCATGGGAACAAAGTGACATGACACTTTTTTATAGTTTTCAGCTAATACTTGGTATGTGATGATCAAGATATTTAGTGATCTTGAGATAAACAGGTGCAGAGGCTGGGGGAAGCAGAAACCCAAGGTAGTTGACCCCAGTCTGTCCCTGGGTTGAACAAATACTATTATTTCATACCATAAACATCACATTCACTATAAATTGAGGAGTTTGCTGAGGATAGCCCTTCTTCTTTCCTCTTCCTTCTTCCATGGCTGGCATCTCAAAAGGGACTTGTCTACTGTCTTACCTCTGAGTTCTACTCCCCACAATATTTGCTGAGCATAAATATGTATTTTGTATTAACATTGTTATTACTATTATTTTACTAAATAGATTTCTATTTTCACCCATGGGTCTCCTTTCTTTCCCCACCCTGGGTGGGGAGGACTCATTGGGTGATGGAGCAACTGTCTAAACCAGGACACTATGCTTTCAGCCTGAGGGCACACAGGTGTCCAGAGGAGAGTGTCTTGCTAAAGAAAGCTTTCTCTTGCTGCTCGCAGTGTGAAGAAGCCAGAGGAGCCCATTTCCAGTTCCAGGAGCTTTTGTCTGACCTTAGCAAAGCTGGTGCCACATGTTCCCTCAGCATTGCCAATAGGCTCTTTGGAGAAGTAACTTTTCACTTCCTTCAGGTAAGAGACAGCCATTTATGGGTTTTGTGGTTTTGACAAACTCCTGTCCTACACATTGAACTTCTGCTAAGGATGTCAAATTGCATGTTTCTGTATTGCTGATGTTGTGACAGAAAAGCAAGCTCTCACAGGTGGATGCAACACAGAGTGAGCAGAGCATAAAGAGAGTGACTTACGAGATAAAATAGGCTTTGTAAAAGGTGAAGAAGAAGAGCCTACATTTCTTAAGGAGATAAAAACACAATTGAAAGATGTGTATAGAAATTTCCACCAAGATGATGTTTCTTCATGCTTTGATATTAGTGCAATTGGCACCCTTCTTCCCCATTTTTTTAAAACGCTGCAGCATATTTGTATCTTTGAGAAATAGAGTAGTGCAGAGCATTTTCACAGCATTTCCACAGGCTGTTCCACAAAAGCAGGGGAGTGGAGGCTCTGGGTGATGGCCAGACTGACAAGGTTGTGCCCTGTCTGCCCCAACGGTTTCTTGCTAAAAAGGTTGTCGTTGTGAAAAGGCCAAACACCCTCTTACAAAGAACAGCAAGAGTAAAGGACAGCGGAGCTGGGACACTCTGACATGAAAAGTGTCCTGGGAACTGGCTGCTTGGCTCCACCCCATGCCCAGAAAGTCTCTCTTGAAGAGTCACAGAGCATAGGCAGGACATTAACACTGAAACAAACAGCCCCACACAGAGCTCTGAACTAGAGATTTGCATCTGTTTCTGGGCTTCCTATTTTTTCCTGGGGTCAAACTCCCCTGATTCACCCCATGAGAGCCACCTCTCTTCTTTGTTTTGCAGCAATATGTAGACTCTACAAGGGTCCTGTACCAAGCAGAGCTGGAAGCGGTGAACTTCATTAATGCTGCTGAAGAGGCCAGAGGGAGGATGAATTCCTGGGTGGAAGAGCAAACGGGTGGTAAGGACAAGGAGCAGCCCTTAGCTGCCCGGGGAGCATGCACCATGACCACATGAGAAGTCAATAGCTAGTGCCTGAGTTTCTTCCTCTGCTTGAGTGCAGTAACACTGATAAATGCTATGGGTTGATTTGTTTTGCTTGTAGCTACTGTAAAAGCAGCTTGGGGCATAAGGTGACCCTGAGCTCCTGGGAGCTTTTATGCTGCTAAAGCTGCGGAGCAATTTTTGCCCTGAACAAACAGTTCTTCCAAGTGAGGAAGTAATGGGATCATCCTCAGTCAGTGGTCAAAACAAAGGCCTAATTCACCTTTATCTGTTGTTTTAAAGGGAAAATTAAAGACCCGTTCCCTCCTGGCTCTATTGATGGCTCAACGGTGCTAGTTCTGGTCAACGCCATATACTTCAAAGGGCAATGGGCTGAAAGATTTCAGGAGGAGAACAGCAGAGAAATGCCTTTCAGGCTGAACAAGGTACAGCTGGGAGAAGTGCTGTGGGGACCAGAGGAAAGCGCGGAAAGTTCTGGTACCCTGTGCTCTGCTGTCTGCAGGGAAAGTCTTTGCCCAGCTCAGGTGTGGGGGCCTGGTTTGTCCAAGCCAAGAGCCTTCACCCAGTGAAGCTGGAAAGCATCACTCTCTTCCCAACTGCTTCTGTGACAGAGGCCATGTGAAGGCAGGCTTTGGTACCTCCTTGGAGAGGCTAAGATACAGAGGAGACTTTGCTGAGGGCACATCAGTGTTTCCCAGGGGCTGTAGTGGAAGTCGACGTCATCCTTTAGGAAAGAGTTGGAGGAGCAGTATGAGCTACAGTGCAGAGGACGAAAAGCCCTGAGAGTGACTGTTACAGCTTTCACAGAGCTTGAGCCTCTGCCAATGCCCTCAGCAAAAATATATAGTGATTTGAGGAGCGTTCATGGAAAAGGAGCAAGAAATTTGAAGGAGGTTCATCCTGTGGAGGTTATTACCTGCTTTATTTTGCTTGGTTTTTTCTGAGTATTGATTTATTCTGTATTTCAGAGAGAGCACAAGAATGTACCAATGATGTGTCAGACTGGAAATTATAAATTAGCCAGGAGACAAGAAGAGCAGATGACAGTGCTGGAGCTCCCATACGTTGGAAAAGAGCTCAGCATGTTCATTCTTCTGCCAGAAAACATCTGTGATGAGTCCAGTGGCCTTGAACAGGTAACAGTCCTGTGGCTGCTCCTGAGAGGAGAAACTGCCTGTCCATCCAGTACTTCAACAAGATGCAAAAGTATCAAGACAGGATGCTGCACTGGTGTCTGGTGAAAATCTGAACAAATAAGAAAGATCACTCTGAGAAGCCTGGATTTAAATTTGCTTGATTTCACAGTTGGTAGCTGTAGGGCACAGTTCTGTCTTTGTCAGGAAAACCAGGCTTTTTCTTAAAGGAATGTGTTGCTGTGAGCACTTTTGATCTAGTGTCTCATGATTGTGATGCCCTGTGTTTTCTCCTTGCAGCTAGAGAGTGCTGTCACCTATGAGAAATTAGCAGAATGGACCAACATGAAGAACGTGTGTTTTCAAGAAATCACGGTATACTTGCCCCGGTTCCGAATGGAGAAGAGCTGCAACCTCACACTAGTCCTGCAGGCTCTGGGGATGAGGGATGCCTTCACCCCTGAGCAAGCTGATTTCTCTGGGATATCGGGAGTGCCTGAGCTTTTCATCTCCACAGCTGTTCACAAGTCCTTTGTGGAAGTTAATGAAGAAGGCACTGAGGCAGCTGCTGCTACAGCGATGTTTACATTTCTAGGCGCATGCTCCTACATTCCTTGTGAATTCAGAGCTGACCACCCATTCCTTTTCTTGATCAAACACAATCCAAGCAAGAACATTCTCTTCTTTGGCCGATGTTGTTCCCCCTAAGGGTAGAGCAGGTTGTAGCTTCCTTCTTCCCAAAGAGAGCACCAGTCTGTGGTAGAAAGGAGTAAGGCATAAACAACATGTTGCTATCAAGTGTCACTGACTTATCCTGATATCCATAATCTTTATCCCAAGAAAAACACCAAGCTGCTTTGGCAAGGGTAGTAAAAAAAATGTGCCTTTTCTGTTTAGAGCTCTTCTCAAATGGGACAGCAATGCTAATGGAGTTTATTTGATTCTTAGTAATTGTCAGCTATGACAACTAGGGTCGGGTTGTGTAAACAGTTGAGTGAAGTGCTGTATAAAGAACTAATTCCAAATGAAGCCTTCCCTCTTCAGCTGCACGGCAAAGCTGATTGTGAGGACAGCCTCCAGAAGGCGCTGCAGACCTTCCTCCCCAGCTGCCAGGTCCCAGGCCAGAGACAGCTCAGTGCTGAACCCCCTGCTTTCCTCCTACGTGTCTCCAGCAAGCCCATCTCCAGCACCTTAACACCACCAAGAGGGGAGGCTCTTGGCTGCCATGATGGCAGTGAAACCCACAGGTCGTGTTCATGTCCTGAGAGCTGCTCCACACAGATGCTGGAGGTTGTGGAGATACATACCTGCATCTGTCCCTCACTCTTCTCCTCAGGCACTCTCTCCACCATCCCCTTTGGGAAGGATTTCTGAAGTGACAAGAGCCCTTCCAACAGGGATACAGACACAAAAGCTATCCCTGGGCAGAAGTAGCTGGTCTTCCCATTCAGCACAGTGGAGAGAAGTCCTGCTCCTCTCTGGTGGGCCCTGGGGCGTTACGACCTCTGCCTGACTGTGATTCAGCCACTGCCTTTGGCAGTGTGGTGCAGCACCTCCTGAGGGCATGCGGGCTTATCAGTGTTGTGCTATCAAGTGTCCTTCAGGGCACCAGAGCAGTCTGTTACCCTGCTGTGCAAGCCCAAGCCATAAACACCTTCGCTACAACACCAGCTGTGTGCCTGGGCAGGTTTCATGGGAACTCAGAAACCCTGCAGTGACTTGTCTGTCCTCAGCCATGCCATGCCTGTGTGGTGTTTCTGGGGAGAGCTGAATATTGCTTTCTTCCCTTTCTTCTCTCCTGCTGCAAGCATCATGTGTAGACACATTGCAGATCACGGGTAGACACACGGTCTGACACATTGCATGCCATGAGTGTCTCTGGTTTTCCATTTATATCAATGAATCGTAGCTTAGCAGTGATTTCCATTTATATCAATGAATCGTAGCTTAGCAGTGATTTTACCTATAGTATTCCTGTTAAACTGTAGTAGTTTCCTGAACCATATGGTGTGGCAGCAATAAAAGTATCCAAAGCATTGAAGTGGTCTGGCTTTTTGCATCCTGATATGAAAGATGCCTTAGGTACTCAAAAGTTTCTGAACATCTTGCCACTTGTCTTGTCTCTTGCCTGTTGTATTTCATCCATGAACTAAAAGCACAGCGAGGTGTAAAAGCACACCAGGAACTTAAATGTCCACCACCTGCATTTCTCTGAATTGCCATTTTAGAATTATAATGGATGCAATAGGTGGGGTTTTGGGTTTTTTTAGTATCACTGGGCAACCTTTCAAAGAAAACTCTTCCTTGAAGCTCTGATGTTTGACATGTGCCTGAAAAACCACAGTCCTTCAGTCCATAAGATGTTTGACCTTGGAGGAAGATTTTTCTAAGTCTGTAATCTCTCATCCTGCCAGTTCTCCAGCCCTCTGACTGATAAGTGGGAAGTTATCTTGCTAAAGGATAGAGGGACAACCACTGAGGGGGAAAGGCTTTCTCAATCCAGAATTTCATAGGGGATGAAAGTCCCTCTAAAGTACCATATTCTTCAAATCATATTTTCAGAACATATTAATGCAATTGTCTCATTGTGTACTTGGGTGCACTGAATGTGACTGGAATGGGGTGAACTTTCTTCATAGCAGCCTGTGTGGAGGTGTTTTGAATTTCTGGCTAAAACAGTGTTGATAATGCTAATATTTTGGCTGGTGCTGAACAGTGCCTGCACAGCACTGAGGTTTTCTGTTTTTCCCACTCTGCCCCTGTCTGCAGCAAGTGAGTTGGCAGTGCATGAGAAAGCTGAGAGGGGACACAGCCAGGACTTCTGTCCTGACTTGGCCAAAAGGGATATCCCATATCATATAACATCATATCAGCAACAAAAACTGGGGTAGAAAAAGAAAGGGTGGTAGTGATTTTTTTTGCTTCCAAGGTGTCTGGTGCTCAGAAATTGGCTGGGCACTGACCTGCTTGTTGTGGGATGATGGGTGATTGCCTCTGCATTGCATGTTTTTTCCTCTTTCTTTTACCTATTTAACAGCCTTTACCTCAGCTCACAATTTTCTTGCCTTTTGCTCTTTCTATCCTCTCCCCCATCCCCCTGGGGGTAGAAAGAAGTAAGCAAGTGGCTGTGTGGACGCTTGGCTGCTGATTGGGTTAAACATAGGTTTTAGCTGCAGTTTGGCAAATGTGGTAGTATAAAGGTAAGTATTTTAAAACAGCAAATACATTACAATATATTTTTTTTTCCTGCATAGTGTTTGCAGGTTTTAATATCTATTTTATAATATAGCATGAAATAGTGAGCTGAGTGCTTTACATGCCAAAATACACTTCAGGTAAGACCTGGAATTATTAAATTTGTCTTTACTGATTTTCAGTGATAAGACTTGTTAACTGAGTGTATTTGTGCAGTTTACTCCATTTGAGTTTTCTTCTGTATAGTAAAGCTCATTTTCTGTCTGTACAAGAGTGATTGAAGTACTGCAATACATATAGGTTTTAATGAATGTTAATATCTCCAGAACTTGGAAACTTGCATTTCTGGTTGTTGAGATTCACTACCAGGACACAGAAAATGGAGCTGTACCACAAGACAGAATTTGGTCCAATTCCGGTCTCTTCTGGCTATAAAATTTTCTGCACTTAGACAGTATACTTCTATCAGCTATTTAAATATCAGTGAATTGATATAGGGGATTTATGGTAGATTTACACCCACGCTTGAGAATAGAATTCAGCCTTAAGCCTCTGGCTGAGTTACTCAGACACTTGTGCATATGAGGAAGAAAAAAGTGTCATTGTGAAGTCTCAGTTTAGAAAAAAACCCACACTATTTGGTGTCTCCATGTAGCACAAAGGCAGACAAAGGAAAAATACATTCATGAGCACATCCTGTAGCTGGTTTCCAAATACAGGGGAAAAAATGAACCATATCTTAACTATATAGTAAACTGCAGCTCTGCAAATGACGACGTAGTTGCAGACTTTTCCCACTCTCAAATGAGAATTCTTGCTGACAGGATCAGAGCTTTGAAATCATCCCACAACTGTTTGATGGCTTTCCAGCTCCTGTTTGCCTCCTGTGGCTTAGGATGACGTTTACTTTATACAAGATGGAGGTTGAGGAAAAAGGTCAAACAGTACTTTTCACCGGCAGCAGTAGTGGTTGTGTGGGCTGCTGTATCACAAGAACACTGTTCCACTGGCCCAGAAACAGATAGTTGTGTGGGAAGCATTGTGTCTTAATTTCCAAGACCTACTTAATGTCCCTTGATCAGCATTTTGTAGTTAGATACCTGCCTTCATCTGGAACAGTGTGAGTCACTTCTGTGTATAAGTACGTTTCACATGGGTGCCACGGGTCAAACACCAAAGCCATTGGACATCATGTTCTGTCAGGGCATTCTTGTTTGCATCCAACAAGCATGCAAGACCTAAATAGAAGGGACTACTTTGTGTATTCTGCATGAAATAATGGTTCACAGAAGCACTGTCCCTGCTTACTGCAGGGGTTTAGACTAGATGATCTTTAAAAGTCCTTTCCAACCCAATGCATTCTCTGATTCTATATTGCTTTGAAGTCAGCTTTTCTCTAATACCTTGTTCTGTGTAGTAGAAGTGTCATGTTCTATGAAGGTTGTTGGAAAGTGACACTGGTCACAGGTTCTATGTTAGATTATACATAAATGTTTACAATCAGCTGGGACACAAGTATCTGATATTCACAAGGTGATGTATCTGAGTTACAGGTAGGCCAGAAATTAAGAGGCTGTTAAATTTTATCCAGAATTCTATGAAAGCAACATCTTTATCAATGGTAAAAATCAGTGCAACTGAGAGAAAGCTGAAATGGGGAAAGATGTAGAGAACTTTATTTTTGGGACAGTTCAGCTGTCCTTGGTTACCTCAGGAATGTAGATACAGAATTTGAATTGCAGAATGATGAAATTATATATTATACAAATTCAATGGCAGGATGCAGAAAACATAGCATTTGCATATCTACATTATTCTGTGGACTGCAGAAGAGGCCTTTTTCATGGGAACAAATTCTATTTTCACACCTTCTCTGGAGTGGAATAATTTTACATTGGCTGAAAATTTGACTCTGTGTTTTCCATTACAGACCTACCAGTTCCTTGCAGCGCTTGGCAGCTTGGGAAGGGTATTTCCAAATTTTATTTTGTTTTCAGAAACTCATTCACTAACAATATGTGCACAGTATTGGCTATCACTCACACTCTACTTCTGTACCACAACACATGTGATTTCACTAGCTGTAAGGACTGGCATGAACATCTCCACACTAACTTATATGCTGATAACACATTAGACTACCAAGCAACTGCATAACTTGACTAGCTATGGAAATCATATCACAAGGATGGTCATGGGATTGTGGAAGAACATTTACTCTTAATGTCCAGTCTGATGGCCAAAAGCAATACCTTTCTCCTCAGAAGTGTGAAAATTATACAATGCCCTACAGGGCTGAGCAACCCTGAATTCGTTTCAGGTTTCCAAGTCTGTAATTTGCTGAAGTAGCTTAGTAGCTAGCAATACCCACAGTGTTTTGGATAGAGTGATTAGTGTAGTAATAAGTTCTTTCTCATGAGTATGTGTACAACAATTACATTTTATGACCAGGGAGATAGTCCCAAACACTATGTCTTGTGCAAAGAATAAATTGACTAATAAGTATTTGCATG